AAGGAATGCACCACTGTAACATCACAAAGTATCACACTTACCACCTTTCTCTGTCCTTCGCCTCAGGACGACATGAGCGACTCGCTGCGGGACTACACTAACCTCCCAGAAGCAGCTCCTCTGCTCACCATCCTGGACATGTCGGCCCGCGCCAAGTACGTCCGCGACGTGGAGGAGATCACGCCGGCCATCGTGGAGCAGTTTGTCAGCGACTTCCTCGCCGAAAAGCTCAAACCAGAGCCCATCTAAAGAGAACGTCCGAGTATAAACTGGACACACTGAATGGGACTCACTCCATCGTCGAAACCCCGACCTATCGCTACACCCCTCACCCTTCCTCCCCAGCCTCCCACTCTCTCTCTCTCTCTCTCTCTCTCTCTCTTTCTCTCCCCCACCTCCCCTCCTGACTGTTAGAGAGACGTCTCACTTTTTACTGACATTTTAACATTTTTTTAGACATGTTCCTCTTTTCATGGAGTCCTCTCTTTCTCCTGTGGTGCCTTGCATTGACTATAGTCCATACAGTAATATATATGGAGATTCTGTTGTGATTTTTTTTTTTTGTTTTTGGCTTCGAGAAAAGTTTTTTTTGTTGTTGTTGTTGTTTTTTTTCACACAATAGCATTTCTGAATTCTAGAGAAAACCAGAGAATTACCCAGTGGACCTACTTACTCAGCTGATTCTTTGTTTTCCATTTTGTCCGCAATATCCTATTTTTTTGGTTTCTGGATGATGCTAAGAAACAATAAAATGCATTTTTACAGTTGTGATTCACATGTAGTGCAGATGTGCTGAACCTCAGTTGGATGTAGCTGTAAGCCTTTACGGCCCTATTTAAATTTTAAAAAAGATTAAAAAACCAGTATGACAGGTGCACATACAGTAAAGAGCACGTTGCTTGCTTGTAACAGACCAATGACTGATGTTTTTCAAACCTCCCCCCCTCTGTGTCTTGTTGTGTGTGTCATGATGTGAGTGAAAGTCATCTCTAGCCAGTCGTTAATGGTGGTTCTCATCTCAAAGTCATTACGAGGATTTTCTGTGAAGGTCCCCTTAATGAACAAGGGCCAGGTTATTTCTGGAGGCACAAAAATGGCATTTTTGAAAAAGTGTTGAATGTATAAATCCCTATATTCTGTTACTTCAGTCATGACTTCTCACACCCATTAAAAAAAAAAACTCACTGGCAAGCACAAAGTTTTGTTCCTGTTTTTAAGTTTTATCAATAAAGTTTAGCTCTTGAATATGTAAAAGATGCACAGTGCAGTGACCGCTTCCTTTCGTCGGAGGTAAAAGTTGCATTTATTATGGGAAGTAGTATGCAGATGAGTCTTTTATTTTTCCCTTTAAAAGCTCAAACTCCAGGTGGGAAAGAAACTTTGGATCTCATGCTTTGCATTTCTGAGTATGAATTTTGCATAAATAATGTGGCTGCAGTTTGAACGTAAGACTTGTCCTTTGCTAAACGGATTTGCCTGCAACTAGTGCATGCATGTATGAAAATTATTTAGAGGAAGGAGTCAGTAAACAGGGAGACTTACGTGCTTGTTTTGTTTTTGTCATGCCTAACCTTTTCGTGAGCAGGTTGGAGTGTTGACACCTTTCATCACCCTGGTTTTATAGCTAATTTCAGCCTGGCCTCATTAGCTTCATTGTAAAGAAGAAAATCTAAAGGTTGCATCAAAAAGGCAGCTTCTGTGGTGATAATAAAGGCGCCATGTGCAGCATTGGAGCTTTGATTTTCTCATCACGATTTCTGTTCAGTCATTCGGTTGCTGTAGTAACCATTTATCCAGCAGCTCTCTATTCAAAACTAAAGAGAGGCTCACGACGTTGTTAGTTCTGACAGAAATATAGGATTTTGAGATATTAGGCAAAGACTATTGCAGCTGTTTTCAAGGGTCAAACAAAACTATTAATTCTTATTAACTATTGAGCCACAACATTAAAACCACCTGCCTAATGTTGTCTAGATCAACTATGTGTTACAAAAGCAACTGGATCAGATCTGGATCTGGGCAGTTTAGAGGCCGAATCAATGCATTGGGCTCTTGGTCATGTTCCTCGAGGCACTTCTGAGCAGTTTTTGCAGTGTGGTTTGCCTTTTTTTTTTTTACACCTTTAAGTGGTTTTAATGTTTGTGGCAGATCGATGTGAGATTAATTATATGAAATTGGTTCATAAAATCAGATACGACCCCCATTCCCTACTTTAAAATTTTATGACAGTCCAAGGTATGGGTTCAAGGGTGTTTTCTGTTTACTCAAAACATTCATGGGGGGAAAATTTTTTTAACTATTATTAAACATATTTATTGAAAACTGTAAAAATGCGAAACATTCTCTTTGGTTTCAGCTTCTCAAATGTGATTTTATTTGTCATCTATAGTAGTACACTGAAAAACTATTGATGAAGATTGGATAAAACAAGGAATAAGAATGCCTATTTAAGGCTCTGGAGTATTCTAGTGACCTGTTTCAACAATCAACAGAATAAGCAAATCAATGTTTAGTTTGAGCGTTTACAGACAGTGTATAAATTCACATACTTCATACATACACTGAGCAAATCTTGACCTAAATTCAGAGGTTTTATTATTAGCGGAACACAATGTGGGACATGCAGTTATTCTGATCAGGCTGACATGTAAAGAAGTATCATGAGGAGTGTCTCTCAGCTTTAGACTGCCTTTTCTTTCCAGATGTTTGCAGTAGTTTTAACAGTTGTTTCCTGCCTTCAAACAGCAGAATGCTGGCTGCCATGGCTGAATTCAAACTGTCCACATCAGGAACGACTGGAATAAAGAGCCTGTGACCATCAGTTTTCTCAGCTAACTGGACGGCTTCCACACTCAGACCGTGTGTCTCTCCACCAATCACAAGAGCAGTGGGGCTTTGAGCCCAGCTGTCATGGTACAGCTGGGTGTCCACTCTGGGGAGAGAAGATCTCTCATCCTCAGACTCAGAATCAGAATCAGAATCCGAGTCATAATCGTACTCCTCGTAGCGCGTGTTTTTGCGATTAGGCCTGGTGCTGACCCAGTCGTAGTCTCCTGCTTTGGACGGTTTGTGAGACACAATAGCTTCAGTTTCTCTACTTCTGTCAGAATTGAAGCTACTGTCAGCCACATGGACAGTCACAGGTTTCGGGAGACGGCTTTCGACATCATCCCAGGCCAGGTTGGGGTAGATGGGAAGGCGGAAATGAGCACCCATTGCTGCACGCAGAACTTTGGGCTCCCAAACATCCACACAACCTGTTGGCAAAAAAAAAGTACAATTGAGAAAATTAATGTTAGCAATGAAAGAGAGAGCCATTAGGGGTTTAATTCATTTGTTCACACCTTCAATTGTTATCATAAACATACCTTTGGTGAGGAGGACATTATGGCAACCAGCGGCAGCAGCACATCGCAGTATTGTGCCAAGATTGCCAGGATCTCGGATGTTGTCACATATCAAGGACAACGGCACCGAATGATCGTTATTTGCAAAGTTCAACCGTGATGGATCCGGGAGAGAAAATATTGCTGCAGAAGAAGAAGTGGAAGTGTGAAACAATTCACAGTATCTGAGCTTCATAATGAACTAAAACTAAATATGTGACTCTTACCGATCACCCCTTGTGGGGCCACAAGGTCAGACCAGGTCTTGATGTTCTCAAACTTGACTTTGACTAGCGTGGCCCTTCTCAGCTTGTCTAAGGGCAGCTCTCTAAGCCGATCCACTGTGCTGAAGAACACAGTCTGTGGCTTGGCTCCAGCATCCAGGGCGTCACAAATCAAACGCCTGCCCTCCAGCAGGATTTTACCCTGATGCTCTCGAAACCTCCTGGAACGAGCAACACTCACCAACTTCCTGCAGAACAGACGTGATGGAAGGAAAGGAGGCAGAGTGAACGCTGGTTATCATTACTATCATTATCATGATCTTACTTATTTCGGAAACATAGGAAACTACTATTAACATACGAGAGCAGAATGCAGCAACAGAAACCGTCAACTAAGAAAAATGGCCTGAAATTTCCTGTTTTCCCAAAGGGTTCAGATCACAACTTTGCATTTACAGCCATTTACTGCAGTGATGGAGGCTAAATAAGTACATTTATTCCAGTTCACTCAATAAAGTTGTCAAATAACCCTGACCAGCTTCAACATTGAAGTTGTACATCACTTATGATAATCCAATAATTACATAGGTTATTATGGAACATATCAGTCTACATAATCAGTTCACATAATTAGGGTTCTGTAAGTATATTTTCATGCAAATAGTTTGGTACTTTTACTAAGTATACATTAAATGCATGATTTTAACTTGTAACAGAGTATGTTCCAGAGTGTTATTTGTGCTTTTACATAAGTATACATTAAATGCATGCCTTTTTCTTGTAACAGAGTATGTCTCCAGAGCATTATTGGTACTTAAGTGCCACCTATGATTCTGTGCCACTTACGCCAGTCTTTTATCTCCAGGGAAAGCCCTCTCAAAGCGCAGTCCGTCAACTTGATCCTTTGTAACACCAACGTGTGCATGCGTAACATCTGACAGCACATTACTCCTTGTTTTGACAAAATCAGTTTCTCCTGGATGTTCTCTTGTGGATGTGACTTTTGCCTCCTTCCTCCTCTGGACACTCGGCTCTGCATCCTCGGACTGCGGCGGCGGCCTCAGGACTTTACCCTTCTCGTTTTCAGGAAACAACACTTTGACAGGTTTCCTCCTCAGTCCGCGAACGTACCGTTTTGTTTCCACAATAATCCCGCTCCTCTGTGTTAGCAAAGCACTCCTCTCTATGGAAAGAAGGCACATCACGCCTCTCATGTACGCTGCCATTTTGGCCTTTTTCTTCTTCTCTTGTCTGTCAGAATGTTGCAGCAACACTAGCTTACCTCGTCACTGCCTCCTGCTGCAGCACAGCCGATACTACATTTACGCAACTAAGAATAATCTAGTTTCTTTAATAACGTCAATAAAAATTACCACGGAGTGAAATTTTATTCGGATATGTTATAAATTATTATTTACATCTCAAAGTTAACATTTATTATTTGTTAACGCTGAAACTTTCTTCTCAACTGTAACCTCGCGAGAGAAGGCGATGCCTCACATTGGGCGATACCATTAACCTCAACGGCTAGGGGTGACGTGACACGTAATTTGTTTACATTTCATTTTTGTGTGTAGCAATTGTGATTCCCTTTAGTGGTATATGAATACTTCTATTCAACAACAATTTTTATAATATATTACTTAATACTTAGTAGTGAATCCCTGCTCTGTGCTTAATGGTATTTACGTTCAATCAATCGACGACAGAAAAATCGATCAACCAGGAAGCTTAATCGCACCCAGCACCGTGGGTTGTAATTGTTATAACACATCTGTCAATAAAGATGGCCATGAGACGAGCGCTGCATTTTGTTTTCAAAGTTGGTGACAGAACCAAAACTGCCACGTTTTACAGAGATGTTCTGGGCATGAAGGTAGTTTTTCTGAGCTGTATTTAATTGCAAAATATTACTGAAACCACCGGCTAGCATAACTTTTGTTGATCGGATAATCTCAGTGTTGCACAACCTGGTATTATTTCCTCCGTTTTCATTATGGGGACGTGGAATATTTTTAACAAATGCGCTTCTATTTTCTCAATTTCTCTGATTTATTTCAGATTTTACGGCACGAAGAGTTTGAGGAAGGCTGCAAAGCAACTTGTAATGGGTAGATAATATGAGGCAACTCAACTTGTAGCGGAGTGAAACAGAGATGTGCAGGAGTTCATATACTAATATTAACCATGCCTGCGTCCTGTATATATACAGACCCTACGATGGGAAATGGAGCAAGACAATGGTTGGCTTCGGTCCAGAAGATGACCACTTTGTTGCTGAGCTGACATACAACTATGGAGTAGGAGAGTATCAGCTTGGCAATGACTTCTTGGTGGGTGAGAGTTAATATGGTCACTGCACAAAGCACAACTATACACGCACATGTCCTGATTTATAAAGAGGAGCCTTTGTCTGTGTTTTAGGGACTCACTCTGCAGTCGAGCCAAGCGGTGAGCAATGCTAAGCGTCTTGGATGGCCCCTCACCGAGGTAGGAGAGGCTCTGTATCTGACCCAGGCTCCTGGAGGATATCCCTTCTACCTCGTGGACAAAGAGCAGCCTCCTCATGGTGAGAGCACAGGCCTGTTATATCTGTCTGTTGTCCACATCAAATCATTTTAGTTTAGCAAGTGTTCAAAAGAGTCTCACTTAAAAAAAATAATCAATACTTCTCAGTCATTTTGTGAATTTAATCAAGTAAAAATTGAAAATGTGATTTGATGAAATCTTCACATTAATAAAGAGTTGCTTGATCTCTAAAATCAACATTTATTTACAGCAACATTTATTTTATTTGTCCTTAATCAGACTAAGTAAATATTTAATAACTCAATCAGGGCTCTGGATAGTGTTGTCATTGCATTGATTTAAAAAAATAAAATATTTAAAAAATAAAACAACCACATCATGATTCTGTTTGTCCATCATAATAGTTTAGAAAAGACTGTTTTTTTTTTAGTTTTCCAGGACAAATACCAAAACCATTTAGTAATCAAGGAGGCCTATAACTGATATCTGGAGCCGATGTGCATTTGCTGTAAAAGTGAAATTAATTTACAAAAAAAAAATTCACATAACTCCAACATAAAACTTTTTTAATCTACATTTGTCTCTTTATGTTGTACATATGTTTCATTTAAAGGGAACCTTTTGTGACATGTAACCAATCAGATCGTGCTGTGGGCGGGACATTGCTCAAAAGTTGTAAAGTTTTAAATGTATTTATTTGACCAGTAATTGGTTAAAAAAAATGTATTGATAATTTAAAAAACTACTGAATATCAGATCCAATAATCTGCCGATCCCCACATATGGCGATGTTTTTCATGCAGTCACCATTTTGTACAACAGTTGATGCACAGTTAAGTACAGTCTGGTTAGATGGTCAGCATTCAGTGCAAATTTTGAGCATTGTTAAGCATTCTGTGTCCTTTTTATGTCTCTTTTCAGTTCAGCCGCTAACCTTTATTAATTCGTCCCCAGATCCGGTGCAGAAGGTTTGTCTCGGAGTGTCAAACCTCCAGAGTTCGACCCACTACTGGACAACACTCCTGGGAATGAAAGTGATGGACAAGAATGAGGAAAAGAAGACGGTGCTGATGGGATTCACAGACACTCAAGTGAGTCAAAGAAATATTATCAGTTAGAAATACACTTGTAGGCATGCTCTGTATTAAAGCTTCTTTATTCTAACTGGTGTCTGGGCAGAGCGCTGTCTGGTCACAAGGGAAAATGAAGAGAAAATGAAAACAGGGACAGAAAAAAAAACAAGTTGCTCTTTAGATTAAAATGGCTTTACACTCGTATTGCCATATCCTACCTGAATTATTTCAAATATGGCTACACATAGCATTTGGGCCTTTTCAGGGCGCTATGCAGCTCTGCCTTTTAAATCCATGGACAAGCTTGTTTTGGAGAGAATTTTTCTCTTTTTCTTTACAATTATCATCAATGCCTGAACTTTTTTTTTTTTTCAGATTTTGCTGAAATAGATAAAGATGACTTCAGTTACTCTCTTAAGCTTTTAATAGTGTGTTTCATGTTTTATGTTGATGACTTACGAATGTATTTTAGCGTGCATGTGTTCACTGTATATGTAATTTTTGTCTTTATGCAGTGCAAGCTCGAGCTTCGCGATATCAGTGGGACAGTTGACCACGGAACAGCATTTGGGAGAATAGCATTTTCTTGCCCACGAGAGCAAGTAAAGTATTATTTCAATCTTTTAAAATGAATAAATATTGATAAATATCAACAAGTATCATCAATTTCAACTTAAGTATAACATGTATTATTTACATTCTTCAGTTGCCGGACCTCGAAGCCTTGATGAAAAAGGAAAACCAGAAAATTCTCACTCCACTCGTCAGCCTGGACACGCCTGGAAAAGCCACAGTAGAAGTGGTTATTTTGGCTGACCCCGTAAGTACATCAGCAAAATCATCCTCTGTAGTGTCATGTGAAGTGAGTCCAGATAAAAATATCAACTGCAAGATGTTGGTTTTGTTTTTTTAGGACAGCCATGAAATTTGTTTTGTGGGAGACGAGGCGTTCAGGCAGCTGTCCATGGTGGACCCCAAAGGAAATGAATTGCTTGATAAGGTTGGCGTCGCTCCAGCATTTCCACCCTCCACATTAAATATGCAACATGTGTTGGGATATTCACTGTGCTCTTTATACTTTTAACTTCTTATTAGGCTATGGCGGAGGATAAAAGCGACGAGTGGTTTGCCAAACACAACAAACAGAAGGCTGCCGCGTGAGACGAAGGCTCGGCCGGACGACTGCACACCGTCGATTTCTCACCGGTTCACACGATGATGAGATGCTGTACGAGGCCCTTGTAACATAAATCTTCTTGTAATGTCAACTCAGTTATTTGTAGGCTGGCATTGTGCGATATGTTCTCCCTGTGAAGCAAACCATTAGATGCGCTGACAGAACATGATAAATGGACCAGTTGTTCAATTTGACGTATGTGTTTCCAATAAATGCTGCTTCTATGAACAAGGCAGAGAGGTGGACAAAAAAATCAATTTAATGCAGCTTATTCTCGTAAATTATGAAACATGTCATGACCAGGAGCAATTGAACCTCTGTTGAGCCTATACTAACATTCTGTGTATTGTGCATTTACTAAGCAGTACTCTTAATAGCTGAAGTACTTGCTGGTGGATTCACTAAAATAAAAGTACGAATACAAGATTGTGAAAATACTCTGTTGCAAGTAGAATTTGTAATGCTGCTTCAGTAAAAGTATGGAAGTAAAATCCAGAAATCTTGAAAGTGTTAAAATTAAAAGCACTCAATGTAGAAATACGTCTTGTGTTACTTTTACAATGAAATGTGTTATTATCACGTGTGTGGTAATGTAAAGAAGGATGTCACTGTTGCAGTTGGTTGATGTGGAACTCATTTTGTACGACCGTGTATCAGAAAATGTATTGAATTAATTGTTTTTTTTTTTCATTATGGAAAAGTGCAGAAAAAAAATTCTCCTTTAATTATTTATTTGTTCTGTATGAATTCTGAAATTTGCAAAAAAAAAATAAAAAATTAAAATGTACAATTACCCAGAGCCCAAAATAACATCTTTAGTTTGCTTGTTTTGTCCAACCAATACTCCAAACCTTAAGTATTAGAAATACCAAAATGATATTAATAGAGATAATAAAATATTTTTTAAAAATCTGAATAATTCTGATAATTCAAAGGAAAAGCAGCAACTTTAATGACATTTTAATGAATGGCAAAATATTATCCAATTAATTCTCTGTCAAGTAACTAATTGATTAAACAGGTAATAGTTGCAGCTGCACAAACCTATGGGTAGTTTATTGATAAAACTATATAACCTCTTCTATGTTTTGTGTGCAAACACTTTAATGTGTAAATAGAAAAGAACAGAATAGAAAAATACTTTATTTATCCCAGTCTGGGAAATTACTGCCAATAAAGCCAATAAAGAGGTCAAAATTACAATATTTCCCGCCAAAGTACCTCCAATTTGCACTGTTGTAGAGCACTTAAGTAGATGTACTTCGTTACATTTCACCACTGAGAGTAATGATACCTGTAGATGATTTGTGTCTGTTTGTGTTAATTTGGTAAAAACAACAATATTTAGGAAAATATGCCATAAAAGCACCAGATACACTGAAATAATCAAGTGTAGATTTGCATGAACCAATCATACTGTACTCACCTTTTTTAATGTTGCTGTATTTACGTATAACAATTTCCATAAATTTGCAGATAAGCAAATGACCAAAACAGAAGTTATAAGAGAGTATCTGGAGATTTAACTCCTCTGTGGAGCAGCAGTGGGTTGGAAATCCACTTTCTGCGTGTTAAATTAAGGATCATGTTGTTTACTCTAAAAATCTATTCATTTATTATGCTTTGCAAAATTAAGTATGCAATGTAATGTTAGTCTGGTTGAAATAAAAGTCTGTGAAACCAAACTAGTTTGCGTATTTTCTGCATTTGCCTGCTAATAAATCAGCTTCCTGTGTATAAATAGAGCGCAGGTGAGCTGCTGATTATCCCTTGGTGCCGGGTTAAAAATTAATGTTTGTTTTCGAGGTGTATGTGGAGCTCCACTCCCACCACGGACTCAGCTGCAAAGTGAGCCGAGCTGCCAGCTGAGCAGAGCCGGACTGTTTACTCTGCCTGAGCAGAGTCAACTGTCAGACAGCGGTGTGCTGTGGAGCCTCCAGCCGGTGCTTTCAATATGTCAGGGTAAGTGAGTTTGACAGTTACCCGGAGTCAATGTAGAGCCTAGAGCGAAAAAAAAAATCTCCAGCAGGTACCTTAAAAAAAAAAAAAAAAGCTAACTTGTGTAGCGCCGCTGTGCTAACTTAGCTGTAGCGTTAGCATGCTAAAGCTAGCACAGATTTGCTTCAGATTTTTTTGGATGACGCGGCGGCAAACATCTTTAACTATTTCATGTGTGGTTTCTTTGGACTGCTACACCTCGACGATGGGTGACTGTTTTCCCACCGGTGACTGGTTAACGTGGCGAGCAAGTTTCGGTACAGGATTTCACACACTGTTAGCCGAGTGATAAAGTTTAGCTGCGCGCTATTCGCTTTGTAACTACACTGTAGTTAATTAGCAATGTTAGCACCGGGAAGCTAGCTGATAGCGCACAACTAACGGATACTAATTTGCATAGGGAACGTTGTCTCAGCCGGATACAGCGACGGGCAACTTATTGACCAGTGTTAGCCAGCAGCCGGTCAGTGTCACCTCTCCCGGAGCACCTGACTGTAATGTGCTGAAGTGCATCTGTTCCTCTTTGACAGCAGCTGATAGCAGATAGAGGAGCAGCCAGACCCATGAACAAGATTTGGGTGTGAACAACTTGGGACACCATGTCTCTCCTGCTGATGTCCTTCCTTCTCATTTGTCTGCTCGGGATTGTCTTATTATGTGTCGTTTTCAGGTAAGAAAACATTACATAGCTTCTACACTGAAGCTCTCATTGCCAGCTACTGTAGACGCTGTTTACAAGATGTCAGCCAGATGTTTCTTTTGCTTTTCCTTATTTGAAGCACAGAATTGAAGACATCAGTGTTTATGTTGTGCTTCTAGGTGGCTCATGTGCACCTTGGCTGTGCGATTCTTCCAGACCGCACTGAACGCTGATCTCAAGATCAAATCAGTAGGGCTGTTTTCTGTCCAAGGAGTTAGTATCCAGTTTCACCCCCAGCATACTCTGGTAAGACTCAGTGTTTACATGACATTTGTGTGGCCAGCTCATGCACCGCTGCCACTCCCGAGTGAGGGGTGCATGTATAGCCACAACTTTCTTTCTTTTTTTTTTTCTCCCCACTTTCCCACGGTATGTCAAGTGTGCTTTTTGATAGGGTTGCACAATCCCACATTGCGTTGTACACATGTGCAATAGACACATCACAGGAAGTGCGATGTGAAGTAAGGCGAAATAACAGACTGCAACTATTCTTGCTGCTGGATAGAAAAAGAAAACTCACATGGTTCTCATTTTCCATGACTAATCTAAAAGAGAAGTCTGTCTGATATACGGTAATTTACGCTGATTTTAGGCTTCTTGGATACACTGAGGGTTTTTTTTTTTTTTTAAACTTTATATAGAAGACACAGTTTGTTGGCATGCAGGCTCCACGAGTGAACACCGAGTAAAGATCATGAGAGAAACGTTAAAGGGAAGATTTGTTTGCATCGATAGGGCTGCAAGGTGGTGCAGTTGGTAGCACCATTGCCTCGTAGCACGAAGGTCACTGGTTTGCATCCCGGTGGGGGCACTGGGATCTTTCTGCGTGGAGTTTGCATGTTCTCTCTCTCCGTGTTCTCCGGCTTCCTCCCACAAGGTCCAAAAACATGTTGAGGTTAATTGGTGATTCTAAATTTTTCTGTAGGTGTGAATGTGAGTGTGCTTGGTTGTCTGTCTCTAAGTGTAGCCCTGTGATAGACTGGTGACCTGTCCAGGGTGTCCCCTGCCTTCACCCTGAGTCAGCTGGGATCGACTCCAGCCCCCCGTGACCCCAGTGAGGATTAAGCGGTGTATAGATGATGGATGGATGGATGTTTGCATATCAAAAAAATGCACATGAAAAAAGTCAGTTGTAGGACTTCACAATTATTTGGACAGTTAATCAGGCATCATGATTGTGGCTTCCCACTATTAAGTAAACACAATCAACTGCAATAATATAGTTTGAAATGGTCAGTTCATAAAAATACTGCCAGTGTAGATGAAATAATTTGGTTTCAACTTATTTCACTCTTTTCAAAGTTAACTTTTGATCACACACTTGTCTGAGCGGAGACTAGAGGCTTCTCTTTGTTACTGTAGCGTACATGTGAGGCGTTTAGGAGTCATTGGTAAATTGTAGTTTCTGTCTGTAAGCTAAATGAAACTTAAGAGGGTGGATTGATTTCAAGCAAAGATTATCTTAAATCTTATTTTGACGCAGAGTATTGTACATCGCAGGAATGTGGGTGAAAGTGAAAGCAGTGCTCTGTTTACTTGAAAGCCAGTGTGCAATGAAAATGTTTTTGTCTATAAAACCAATGAATATTAGTGATTGATGGGCCAATCATGATCAGAATGTTGATCAGAATAATCATAATTGTAATTGTGGCTATGATTGTGCAGCCGTATTGGAATATATTGGCCAGAGAAGATGATGTTGACCAAAAACAAGCCCTCTGTCAGCGCTGTCTTGCGATTGTTGCCACTGCACAAAGCAACACAACCAGTTTGTTTGACCATTTAAATCAGAATGTAAATTTCAGGGTTTTTTTTCATATTGTAATATATTTTGCAAAAACATTAAATATCACAGCGTCAGTTTCTTTCAATGTCTTGCAGTCCTCCTTTTGACCCACTGTGCTGTAACAGTAACTCTCTTATTGACAGGAAATTGACAGAATATGGATTTCAAGTAAACTTCTAAACCAAGATTTACCGTAAGTTGTCGCATATTTTGTCAGTAGCACAGTCACAGTTATTTCTAAAGTTGAACCATTATAAATGGAAAACACTTAATTTTCAGACATTTACTTGATGTTTGTGTTTCAGGAGATACTTGGCGTTGTGTGTTGGGGAAACCAGAGTTAGGTTTGACTTGCAGGCGCCAGTCAGACCGTTAGATAAGAAGAGCCATGGGAAGAAGTCAGGGAAGATCTCAGTCAGCCCGACAACGCTACGCCTTCTGTCACAAGTATGAACCATCACAACAGGCCAACGCTTCTCTTTATGCTGATTTGTTTGTTGGCAATATCTCACTTTGTACGTCGTGTTTTCAGCTGCTGTCATTCCATATCAGCTCCATCAATGTGATGGTGCTGAACATAGCGCTGTCGGAGTCTCTATGGCACATGACTCTCACAGGAATCACCTTGTTACTTGACCACCAAAGTAAAAGGTAGCTGCATCTGTATTTCTGTTTGTTGTTTCTGTGCAACACCGATAAACCAACAATTTAACTGTATTTGTTAAGCACGGCCGCCTGTTCTGACATTTCTTGCAGGTTGGCGTGGGACTTCTCAGTCTCACAGCTTAGCAGCAAAGTGCTTAAAAGCAGTCAGTTGGTGAGTTCAATTACTGTCACTGAAATAGAAAGTTGGGATTAAACGTGTGTGACTGACGTGCTCTCCGTTGCAGGACATATGTTTGGCTGAAGTGGCCCTGAGCCTGCTGCTGTCTGGAGATGTGAGCCTACCAGAGATGAAGCCAGGTTGTTTGTCACTGAGTGTGAGGACACTGATAGCAGAGCTGCATGAGGGTCTGTTCCTCAGCCAAGTCCTGCTGCCCCCCGTCTCCTATGAAGAGCAAGATCGTGATGCATCTGGTGAGCAAAGTTTAACCTCTGAAATGGCAAAATTATCATCAGCCTTCGTGTTTATCTCGCAGTGTGGGAAACACTGGTCACATAGCTACTGATTCATATTTTTAGTCATCTGTCAGATTGAATTAATTTTCTCTTTTCCCCTAATTGTAATCTAAAATCCAAGTGTTGCCCTTATTTTTAAGACCTTTTTTTTCTTATCTGTGTTTTGTTGTATCATATTTTACCATCGCAGCATAAATAGGGGATGGAAAGTGAAAAGTCTTGTGCAGTTATTCAGGGAAAATGCCCACAACGCAGAGATGGTAGATGAATAGAAAACATCAGGCTACACTGTTTTGAATCCACAAGACCATCACGACTAGTTGCACTAGTAGCTGTTTTCCACTGGCTTTACATCTGATCCTAAAATGCCTGGATGTTTTCCATCATCTGCGATATTTTTAGCTGTTCTGCTAACCCAACTAGAAAATGCGGACAAGGTCATATCACAGCACTTTACAGACCTCCGGGAGTGTTTGAAATATCCCTAATAATAAATAAATAAACTTTACCCTCAACTGTCAGATTTCAGCATATTTATGTTATACAATTATATGGAGAAAAAAAGGTAGAAAACAGTGTCAATTATTTAAAATAACATGCAATTAAATGCCTTTGTGCACTTTTTATGAGTGCTTTCTATGTCGATCGGTATTTTAATACATTTTTGCTGAAGATTTGTATTAAACACGAGTAACACAGCCGAGCTTAAGGCTGGCAGTTCTGCCAATGTGATTACTCACTGACAAGGAGAAAAAGAGGAAATGACAATATCATTTGGGCATCTCAATGCGAAACCTATTTTTAGGTCACTAGATACAAAAGTAAATTGATGCCATTTAGTGATTTAACTTTTGACCAGAATTCCTACGATGGTTTAAATATCTGGGCACAGTCGGTTGCAACATCCAACACACGCCTTCTCTCTGTACAAGCAGCTACAAAGTTGACTGTAATCCCAGATAATATGCATATTGCAGAATATTCCAAATTGCAATTGGCTCATATCAGGTGGCATATGCACAGCCACAAACATATTTATCAGATCCAAAAGTGCTCGTAATTATGGCATGTCTGAGAATTGTATGGGCTTGTTTGTTGTTTTTACAGCAGTTTAACTGATGATTTAGTTTGAATGGCAGCTAGATAGTCTTTGACTTCATACATTTGGTAATCATATGCATAACGTTGTGACTTAATAATACGAATGCTGCTTCCTCTCAGAGTGTGAAAACAATGATTTCATCAAGACCGAGGCTGTGGAGCGCTTTCATCGGCTGATTCCCCACAAGGTCAATGTGGAATTTGATAACACTAACGTAACCCTGTCCATGCACAGCCAGAAACGGTGAGTCTGCGTTTTGCAGTCAGCTGTATATATTCTGCAAGTAATTGTATTGCACACTTGATACACTATTAAATTATTAAATAATTCTTTGACACTTGTCCTACATGTACAGACACCTGAACTGGACTCTGAAGTCTTTAAAGCTCTGCTATGGACGTGACAGTGAGCAGCTTCCTCTTAGAAGCTTCACTCCGGAGCTGAGCTTTCCCCAGAGCAGCCTGGAGCTCCTTCTCGAGGGTTAGTGGACAGCTGGGCGCCAGACGCAGTGCAGAGACAGTTAGATGGAGCAAAAAACTATAAATAACACTTTTTTTTTTTTTTTTTTTAAATTGGCAGATGGACTTCTTCTTTCTCAAAGTAGGCAAAGAATCCTTTGTGTGAACACTCTCAAGACAACCCTGCAGGTGAGGAAGATGCTTTATGGCCACAAAGTTTCTTCTAAGTGTATTACTCATCATTTTGACTTTGTTTCTTTTTTTCTTCTGTAAATTTAGGTTACATCAATCGACATCTCAGGGTCATTCATTATCAACACTTGCATCATTCACTACCGTCACCAGGAGTTCTCCCATTGGCTGAATCTATTTCCATGGGAACAGCTAGTCCGGGGGAAGGGAGGACACAGAAAAAGGCAAGTTGCAAAAGTAAAACTCTGAGATTTAGATTGCTGGATTGCAATTATTACTAGACTCTAAGGATTGTAAGCACAGCTTCTCTTTGACCTTTTTAAAAGATTGCTTGAATTATTGAGTCTGTGTTCTTTTTTAGAATTTCTTTTTTTTTTCCCCCACTGCAGTGAACACACTTTACTAACACCTTTTGCTATCTTCTCTTCCTTATTCATGTTGTGTTTGTGCATCACTCATTCCGTATTGTGCTTCCATGACCTTATTGTGTTGTGCAGTCCATTAGATTATTTGCCCACCCTCCTTTTCCTCAGGCGTCTCCCTCACTTGGATGCCCCTGTGATGATCACCTCCTCTGTGTCAAATGTCAATGTGTCTGTTCAGCTGGGAGACACCACGCCCTTTGCTCTCGGCTTCCTCTCTGCTAATGCGGGTACGTGCACATTTCGGCAAGAGAGGCAGGTGAAAGTCATGTGATGATGTTGCAAAATGAGGGCACTGCTGCGTTAAAGTGTAACATCTACGCACTGTGAGAAACAGCAGCACTTAATGTTGTTAGTTTACGTCATGTACGAGGTGCTATTCTTAAAGCACATTCTCCTTTAATACATCTTAATGTTCTGAATGGTAGACAACTATTAGGTCAAGTTATTTCTAGCGTGCCAAACTAGATTAGATAACGTCTTTTCTCCAGGTGCCCTTTGGATTATTAAACATTAACTTAGTCTCCTTCTACTACTCTTCACTTCTTTGTTTTCAGAGTGACTTAAATCACTTTACTGCAGCAGATGTCAATATTTTACCTCAAGGTAATGTTGTAATATGACTGTTCTTATTATGACGTTCTTTGTGTTTGCAGAACTCCAGCATCTCCTTGACATTAAAGTTGACAAAGAGAGCCCAGAGTCCCAGAATGTGCACAGGCGTGCCTCTTTGTCCCTGGACAACTTCTGGTGGAGAGTGGGTCAGGGGTCTCACATCCAACAGGCGCCCCACCCTCCTGGTAAACATGTGTGGGGAGAAGCGCTAATTCTAGACTCCCTCAGTCTTCAGGTAGGTTCACAGATTACAAGGAAAAGTTTAAAAGCACATTCATTCACATGTATGTACATAGTTGCACCATGACTTTGTATCGGCAACCTACTTTTAGGTGCCAAGTGTTTTTCTTGTTTCTTGTTTCTATGGATCTTTTACTTTTTAATGTTTTAAAGTTTAGATTTGAAAATCTTCCAACCGCAAATCAGATCAATGATCTTAACTCAGATAATGCTGTTTAGAGTAATTTATATGCTTAATAAGATAGATGGAATTGTCATGTATTTTTATTATCTTTCTCCTCCAGGGGAGTTTGAATCGACCCCAGGTGGAGTCGAGTAGCCAGCCTCTGAGTCTGAGCGTGGAGTCCAGTCTAAAAGGCCTTCAAGTGGAGCTGTCAGAGACCTGTGCACTGTGTCTGTCTCGCCTGCTGTCCCTCATGTGTGTCACTCATGACACAGAGCCGCAACCGTCTGATGTGGCTGCAGTTTCTCCCTCGAGTGATGGTACTGTCCATCCCATCGCCTCCCCACAACTTCACCTGCTTTTTAAACTGGACTGCGGTCTGGAGGATGTTAATGTGTTCACAGTGTCAAATGTGGCAGGTAAGAAGACTCTTAGAGAATATGCAGAATTTAGGACTTATGTATGGCATAGCACAAAGTTGCTTGAATGAACAGACAGCTCCTAAAGTCTGTTGTTTTCATTCACATTGTTTTCGAAGCCGAAGTGTGAGTTTTGTAGAGCAGGAATGATTATTTGATTAATACATTACAATTGACCGAATGTTTGAGAGCACGTTTATGAGTGATACATACTTTAAGTTGTTTTTTGAGTTTTTTTTTTTAAACAACAATAATGCCCGTTTGTCAAACAAAACAAAACAGATTTCTTCCTACAAAGGCCCCTTTTGCATCAAAGAACACAACACACACAAAATTCTCTGCACTGGCAATCTGTCATCACCTTTAATTATTGTCTTTTATCCACTTGTGTTATTTTTAGGAGCTGTGTCTTTGCGGATGGACACTCTCAGAGTCCTGAGCTCTGCTGAGAGCTCCAGGGTGTCTCTGCAGGGGGTGAGCTTGTCTGTGGTTAAGTCTCTCACAGAGAACATGGAAACATGCTGCCCTGCCTCCCAAACCCTCAACCCTGTAATCAAACTCACCACAATAACTGTCTGGTACCAAATCACCACCCACACCTTACAGGTAATCACATCTTGAAGTTTAATTTCTCTGGACTTAATGGATTTCTGTGTTCATATCCTAGCTGCATCAGTATATTTCACGGTTTGTGCTTTTATTGATTTCTTTAATCAGGTTCAATGTGAAGAGGAGCTCACTGTAGAATGGACGCCACCAGACCACATGGTCTTATATCAGCACATGACTGAAGCTCAGGCCTGTTGGTGCATGCTCAGTGGAGAGAAAGGTGAAGACAAGCCAGCCACGCCTACAGACAGTGAAGCTGTGTCAAGTCAGAGTAGAGTTCTGTGTGTACGCGTTGAACTGGGCTGTACTCGTTTAACAGCGCATGTGAGTGAGCAGAACTATATTCTACTGCACACGGATTCCCTCTCGGTCTCAAAGCATGCTGGTTCCATGCACATGCGCTCCCCTTCGCTGATCTTCAACTTCGACGGCAACAACATCGTGTCCTTTAATGGCCTGGATGTGGAGATGCACGCTGAGCTGACTGAGATGCAGTTGCACAGAGACACTTTCCCCTTCCTCACCACTCCTCACAACAGAGTCTGGGTCCTCACTTGCCCTTCCATGGCGGTCGAATTCCCCTACCAGTACAATTTCTCAAACACCTTTGACATGGCCATCAGTGTACAGAAGTGGCTGAAGACTCTCCATCGCTCCCCAAACCAGGCCTCGACCATTCAGCGCCTGCCTCCTGATCTTGTGTTCAAAATCAGCCAGTTCTCGTTTGTCTTCCTGGACGACATCTTTGAAATCAAGCTGCGAGACAATTATGAGCTGATGAAGGACGAGAGCAAAGAAAGCGCGAAGCGTCTGCAGCTTCTGGATAAGAAGGTGGCCGATCTGCGCAAGCAGCACGGAGAACTTCTGCCTGCCAGAAAGATAGAAGAGCTGTATAGTTCACTGGAGAAAAAGCACATAGAGATCTACATCCAGCGCTCACGCCGCCTCTATGCAAACACACCCATGAGGAAGTCCCTGCTGACCTGGACTGTGTCAGACTTGGAGCTAGTAGCCCTGGCTGATCAGTCTCTTCATGGGCCAGAGAAGGTGAGAGAGCAGCTGAGGGACATCGACAGGATCAGCCCCTTCCCCAGAGATGGACTCCCTCTGGTGGTCCAGTGGTGCAGAGCAGTCAAGTTTAAACTAGCTGCTTTTCTGGGTAAGAAAGACTAAATTGGAAAAAACACATTTTGTGAAACCTCTTGCAATTTAGGCTTAACACAGCAGTGATTTACTGTTTTATTGCTTTGTGCCAGTGAGAATTCGGGACTACCCTCGCTACCTGTTTGAGATCCGGGACTGGGAGCTGTCGGGGCGTCTGATTGGAACAGAGCAGGACGGACAAGCACGAGCTCGCCGCAAAGAGATTGTCCCACTAGGTCCACCTTGGGGAGATGTAACAGTCCACAGGAATATGCCACCACTTAAGTTCTACTATGATTTCAAATGTAAGTTATGTGCATAATGTTGCTCATTCTTCTGCAGTCCTGTCTGGGTATGTGGAAGTGTTTCATTATCGGTTCTCCTGAAAGCTCCATGGGCTCAGTCACTGCTTGTGAATTGAATATTTGTGACTAAAACAGAAGTTAAAAAGCAGAAGGGGGCACCTGCAGGGCAACGACAGAGATGAACCCTGCATTGTTAAAGCAGGAACTGGATATGTGAACAATGTTTTTAGAGCCGCTGTTGAAGCAAAATTATACAATATAATGTTTAGTTGATAATGATTATGTCAGTGAATCACAATAAGTATTTGAACAAAGTACTATTGATCCTTATTTTAGCCTGAATTCGCAGCCTTAATGGTCTGTAATTGCGAGCTTCATTCATTTGAAAAGAAACACAATTTGAAACTGTTCAATACTCTTTCTACAGCCAACATCTCTCTGTACACTATTGTGTGGGGGCCGTGTTGGGACCCCGCCTGGACTTTGATTGGACAGTCGGTTGACCTGCTCACCAAACCCACAGTTGATCCCTCACCACCTCTGGCCTGGTGGGACAAAAGTCGTCTCCTTCTGCATGGGCGCTGGGTCATGGACATTGACCAAGCCAATCTGCATCAGCTAGCTACAGAGGTAAAACATAGAACACCTCACAGATTCAGCTGCTGTGGATTTCCTATATAATTCTGCAGGAAGAGGTTCAGAAAAATTATGATTTGTTACACTTTTCCCTTAATGTCAGTCTATTTATTTCTATATTTCATGCCATGCACATGTTTCCATTTTTATTGTTTTGAAAAATGTCTTTATTAACTTAAGCCTACATTCCTGCAGGATCCCTATAATACTACAGAAAACTTACACTGGGAATGGAACAAGCTCAACTTTGACTGGATCCCCGGGAAGTTTGAGTTTAAAGGGGATTTGGATGTAAATGTTAGGACAGCATCGAAGTAAGTGGAGCCACTAGAGGCAAAATTAGCAGAAAGCAGTACTGGTACAGAACCATTCAGTAATCATAGTTTCTCTTTCCATACTAGGTATGATGATATCTGTTTTCTGCACCTGCCCAACCTGTGTATGACCCTTGAACTCCAGTGGCTTTGCCATGGCAACCCCCATGACCACCATGCTGTAATGCTCTGCTGTGCAGAGAACATTGCAGATGTGACCTCAGGACAACCACATGACTCCTACAGAGCCTTTCGCTCTGAGAACCTCAACCTCTCCATCACCATGGACCTTAACCAGCATTGTGGCACAGGTACATGCAGCTCTCTCAGATTTTCCATTTAGCTAAGGTAAACTCTCACACCGGAAAACTGGTACTACAAATGTGTTTTTTGCTGTATAATTATGTAATTCTTCTTTATAGAACTTCCCCAGCCCAGAATCCTGCTGTATAGCAGCACATTGCGCTGGATGCAGAACTTCTGGGCCACCTGGACGAGTGTATCTCGACCAATCTGCAGAGGTAAGCTCTTCCACAGCCTCAGGCCGGTTCGCAAGAAGCTTGGTCAGCATTACAAACAGATGTCGTACACAGCTGCCTTCCCACAACTACAAGTAAGTGTTTAAGAAACAGCCTTCCAGCACTTGCCCACTGAAAATCTGTTTCATGTTCTTACCAGGAATCTCCATTTTAACACAGTACAGTATGTGCATTAAATTTTTCTATCTGTATTTTGTGTGCATTTCTACGTATTGTTTGTGTTTAGGTGCATTACTGGGCCTCCTTCGCCCAGCAGAGAGGTATTCAAGTGGAGTGCAACAAAGGCCATGTTTTCACTCGAGGAGCACAGAGACTTATTCCACAGGGTAAATGAACAATATAACTCTGTTAAAGCATTTATTCCTACTTACAACAAATGGTTAAAACATTTCTTATTGTTGACATGTGTGTGTGTTTGTATGTTTCCTTAGCTGGCACTGTGATGAGGAGGCTGATCTCTGAATGGAATGTGACTCAGATGGTCAGCGAGCTCTCTCAGGTGACGGTTCACCTGATGGCCTCCACCTGGGATGAGACAGCTGACCACCAGATCAACGCTCAGGTGAAGAAGACTCACCTGCTCAGCCTGTCGTCCCTCAGCTACCAGCGACAGAGCAACCGCATGGAGGAGGTACAGGAAGAGAACCTAAAGGCTGGAGTTTAAATCTATTTTTTTTTCCTGTGGCTTTATTAATAAATAACACATCGTACAATATTTGTGACAGGAGGTGAACCAGAAGGATGAAACTAATGCCTCGTACACTCACAAACTGTGCCTGGTGGACCTGCGTGCCTCCTGGACCACCACGAACAGAAATATAGCCTTTGGGCTGTATGACGGTTACAAAAAGGCGTCTGTACTGAAGAGAAATCTCTCCACTGAAGCTCTGAAGGGTCTGAGGATCGACACACAGCTGCAGACCAAGAAGCTCAAGCGCTCTCCCTCCAACTACTCTCCTACCACAGCTCCCACCACTCCAGTAACGCCCACTCTCAGTCGATTAGAAAAAAGTCAAAATGAAGGTGAGAAGGTAGCTTGACTCAGACAAAGACAACAGCCAAGTTTTAGGACCAACTAATCTTGTGCTTTTCCACTTCGTTCTGTAGGGACATCGATGCTGCAGAAGCTGATTGAGGAAACAGACAAGTTTGTGGTGTTTTCAGAGGAAGACTCGGGTGTTAGCGACCAGCTGTGTGGCATCGCAGCCTGCCAGACCGATGATGTATATAACCGCAACTGGTTTATTGAGTTGGTCAACTGTCAGGTAAGAATTTACATGTTTTTCATATCGTCCATATTATTTTTGGTTCATGTAAATACATACCTACCGTCACTGCCGGGTTTCAGTTTAAATCAAAAATTGTAGGATCGTATGTTCTGCTACAGAAAGATCTTGTAATGTGGGCTACAAAATCATACAGAGGTCGATGAATGAATTCTGTGGATGGACTCAACATGTTTCTCTCAAACCCAGCTTAATGAATACAGATGGATTATCTGAGTGTTCCAGTGTTTAAATCTTCTTTTCCTTTTCTACCCAGATGATGTTGCGTGGAACAGAGACAGCAGGTTGTGTGCTGGTGTCTGCAGCAAAGGCTCAGCTGTTGCAGTGTGAGCACCACCCTGCCTGGTACAACGACACCCTGAAGCAGAAGACCACCTGGACCTGTGTGCTGGATGGTATGCAGTACTTTGCCACCATGGAACCCAACCCGTCTGAGCAAGAGGACAGGCAGCTTTGGCTGGAGGTAATCTCACCTCTTACTTGGTAGATGCTGTGTATTAGTGGGTCTTAATGGCTTTAGTACATCTTTAAATATGCATGAACATTTTCTCTTCTACATTTGTTTGAATTGTGTAGCTTAGATGGTGGTGTTAAATTCCCTTTTATATATTAGATGTAGCTCAGAATGTTTTAATCAAGTTAGAAATAAATTTCAAGATTTAGAATTAATGTTTGGTTTCAGTGAAAACTCCAGCAATAGTCGGAGAGTAAAAACAACAACTTGATGGTGACACAATCTAAACAGCTACAACTGAACACATAATATCCAATGATCTCAGAATGCAAGCTTATCAGTTAATTTGTATTGCAACACTATATAAAAAAAACTGAAACAATTACTTGATTGACTGTTTTGATAATTGATCAATTGTTTTAATTGTCAGTTTGCAAGTAAAAGTAGCAACAACAACAACAAAAAAAAACATGCTACAAATTCTAGGCTTCTAAACTGAATATCTTCAAACTTTGGACTTTGCCTGAACAAAACAAGTCATCTAGACATCTGAAGATGTCATGTTGAACTCTGAGAAGTTGTAATAGGAATTTCATAGACCAAAGGATTATTCTGAAAAAAGGGCAGATTAAATGCTATTGAAACTTATTGTTAGCTAAAGCCTTTGTATAACACACCACAATTTCTTAGCTACATGCATCATAAGCTCTGTTTTTTTTTTTTCTTTACTTGCCATTGGGTTGTGTTTAGGTGAAAAACATCGAGGAGCATCGGCAGCGTAACCTGGACTCAGTGCTGGAGCTGATGGAGAGTGGTCAGGCGGTGGGAGGGATGGTTAGCACCACTACAGGTACGACACTACACACACACAAGATAGTTCTCCCTCACCCTATGGTAGCGTTCTCCAAATACTACAGTGCGGTTTTTGAAAAAAAAAAAGAAAAACACTGACCACACTGCCTGTACATATGTAACAATACCTGCCTGAATGTACAAATGAGTGATTTTGTGTGAGCTGTACACAGCACCAAATGACTGTCCATATTCATGTTTTAAAGTATACCTGTAAAGGGGTTCTGATTTTTCTTTCTGATAACCGTAGACTGGAACCAGCCTGCGCAGGTGAACGAGGCTCAGCAGGTTCAGCGAATCATCTCACGCTGTAACTGCCGGATGCACTACATCAGTTACAGTCACGACATCAACCCAGAACTGGCCACACAGATCAAACCACCTGAGCTGAGGAACAGCCACGAGAAAGAGGACCTGCTGAAAAAACAAGCTGGTACGTCTGATCACCCAGAGAACACATATCCTAAATCTGTAGTGAAAATTTCATGGCAAAGAAATCTTGCAGATCTTTCCTGAGCTGCAAAGAAATGGCCCTTGAAAAGTGTTATTTTTCTAGGGGCTGTGGACACTTTCACTCTCATTCACCACGACCTTGAGATATCCACTAACCCCGTTCAGTATGCTATGATCCTGGACATTGTCAACAACCTGCTATTACACGTGGAGCCCAGACGCAAGGTGAGCTGGAGCATCAGCTGCCTAATGGTTCCCATTTAGAAAAGCTTTCCATGCCCTTGCTGATGTTTCAGCTTTGCTCACTCTGTATTTTTATCCTCTGGTGTTTCCAGGAGCACAGTGAGAAGAAGCAGCGAGTGCGTTTCCAGCTGGAAATTTCCAGTAACCCCGAGGAGCAGCGCAGCAGCATCTTGCATCTGCAGGAGGCTGTCAGGCAGCACCTCGCTCAGATCAGGCGCCTCGAGAAGCAAATTTACTCCAACATCAGGGTGAGCCACACAACGGTTTACCAGCCTGCTTAAATTAC